AAAACGCACAAAAATGGGAAATGCAAATTTTCGAAAATACAGAAATTTCAGTTCACTAAAAAGTGGAAGTGCTGCTAGGGCGGTCGTTCGTCAAAAAATTCAAATGTGCAAATGAACTGGATATTGGGAGAAGATGAGAGAGGTCGTTCTCTGCAAAATGCACTCGTTTCAAAGTTTGTAGTGAAATTGAGTATTTCTCATAACCACCTGCAGGGAATTTCCACCCCCAAGCAGAATTAAAACAAAGCGTGAAAGTAGAATATCCCTGCAAAGTTCCAGCCCTGTACTTTGCCTGGTTCGCGAAATAGTTTCCCGCCAAACAAATCTGCATATTTTTTCAGGAGTTCGTAAGCGAGGTCTAGGCGCGTATCAATGGGAGGATGACACGGGGTCGGCCAATCGCGCCCTCTGAGCTGTAACTGGGCAACTACCAACCAATGCCCCTAACCATATCCAGTCCTGGGGCGATGCCGGCGAGTGTTGGGTATCATTCCCCGGGCGTTAGCCAGCACTCCGTGCCTGCACGACTTGAATGGGGAATGATAGGCGGAGTAATAGATCGTGGGTAGAGGTGTTGGTGATAGATGTCCAGACGCCACTTCAGAGGCAGGAATTGGGGACAAAATGAAGAGGAACAGGAATACTAGTCAGGAGTTCGAGACAAGAACTGGAGGCAGCGGTAAGCAGGAAGAAACAACACGGTACTTCAAAGAAAAGTAAATTAAAGCAAGCCTGATCTTATGAACAAAAGAGGAGAAAAAAGCAAAGTCAAAGAATCGGATTTGGGAAAAAAAGGGAAAAAGGCAAAGGCAAAGAGAAAAATCAAGCCTGTGCGAGTGGAAATTGTCTTACAAAAACCCCTCGTATATAGAGGAACCCGCAGCACTACATCCGACATATTCAAACTCCCGCCACCCACCACGGAGCGACCCTATCAGTCATCATCAAGAAAAAATTTTTCGCGATTCGCGTATGACGCCGGCCGAGCCGAGCCGAGTTTTGGTAGTTGCCGAGTTCTAGTAGCTCTCTCGATTTTCGTTTTCTCGGTCCGTTCGTGGTGTTTTGATTTTGTGCATCTGTGTTTGGTTTCATTTTGTTGGAAGTGGTTTTGTAACAGGGATTGGCCTGGTAGGGGCGTGAGCATCGCCACTGTGTTGGAGCAGGTCGAGGGTTCGATTCCGCCGCTTGGACAGCCAGTCCCTCTACGATTCGTTCATTTGTTTCGATGGTATATTGGTACTGGCACATGTCATGGAGTCAATTGAATCATCAGCTTGCTTTTTAAGCAAACCTTGGAACCTACAAGCAGATGACTGCTTTGTCGCTCACCTTCAAATCCAGTATTGACAAAGTCCGAGTCAAAACCATCCGTTTTTATGTGTTTTTTGCATCTGTGCAATGCAAAACCGCATGTTGTAGAGGAGTTGTCTGTGTGTGCGTTTCTACCGATTTTTCATCTCGAGACCTACAAAAGCTACAAGGCTGAAATTTCGAGAACTTAATCTACGTGTACATGCAGGCTCCTTTGTCAATAAAGTAGACGCCCTTGCTCACGTGTTTCTCATGTACCGGCTCGTAAAAGGCGGGCAAGTTGCCAACTCGGGAACTTGAAAAGCTAGGAAGCTGGGACTTTAAGAGGATGTTCCTCGCCTAAGTAGGATTTAATGAGTTCATACCTTGCCTCCGGCGACGCATAGTTCCCAAGTATGGGCTCCTGGAAATTTTTTTGCGAGTAAGTTGCTAACTCGAAAACCTGAAGAGCGAGAAAACTGAAATTTTAAGAGGATTTTTTCGGTGTCCCGGTGGCCAGTCTCACTTCTAGCTAGAAACATTTGCCGGAAAAAACAGTGCCGCTAGCGACAAAAACCTGCGGGGAACTGTGCAAAAAAAGCATCTTCGCACCGGCAGTTGGTACTCTGGCCAATTATTATTCCCTGCAAATGACGAAGGCCTGCAGAATTAGCCCGAATGCCAGCGCCTGTGTAACTGGCTTGCAACACGAAGTTAAGTGTCAGTAGATTCTAGAAAGAGTTACACTTTTGTTAAAATTGCAACAGCGGTATGATGAAAGGAGGAAAATTGTTGAAAATGAAAATTTACATTATTGAAGGCATAAAAGAAGGTTAAGAAGTAATTAAACTGAGAAAAAGTTTCTCGATCTATTCAAATTGTGTATATTTCTTTTCAGTATCACAACTGGACCTTGTTAGTACGACGGCTGTTGCAAATGTAGTTAAATTTTGCATGGTACCTCAATTGCCCTCATTTGACTCATTTTTGCTTCCATTTTTATCTGTTTTTGCATCTTTATGCAAATGCCAAAACGCATATGCCGAGAAGTTATCGATGTGTGTGTGTGTGTGTGTGTGTATGGGTGGGTGTGTGTGTACGTGTGGGTGTGTGTGAACGTGTGTGTGTGTGTTTGTGTGTGTGTGTTTGTGTGTGTGTGTTTGTGTGTGTGTGTTTGTGTGTGT